ATAAGTAAAGGGAATTATAACTTAGGGTTCCCATTGACCTTGAAGTCTTCCTATAAAAGTTGCAACAGCATCCTCACAGCCTTTGAACTTTTGTTTAATATTGTGTAAACAATATAAATGAAAAAGAAAGAAATGTTGAAAATACTAAATGACTGCTTATAATATCAGTGCGATTGATTTTGTTTTCCAGGGGTTTTATGGCTGTCTATTGTAGCAGAGTTTCTGTACATTATTTTGCTTCTGACTGGAGTGATTCTTATGTCAGTAGAAATGTGCTACTACAGGACTGCCATTGGAGGGCTAAAGATGAATGCCTTTTCTGCAGTGATCACCATATTAGCAGGTACAGTTAAGGATCTTGATTTATTACATCCAGAAAATGCAATATTGATAGACTTCCACCTGAAAATTAATAACAGTGTTCAAGCTTCAAAACTATTACAATACCTACAGAGACATTAATAATAAAAGATGCAGCAAATTATTTTGGAACATACTATTTTTCATTAGTTATTTCCTAATATGATTATATTTTATATTAATAGTTTTTAGTACTTTTAGCTTCATTATATTAATTTTATATCTTTACATTTCGTTGTCAGATTGGTTGTCAAAGATAAAAAAACCTATATACTCTTCCAAATAACTTTATTTTGTTATTTCCAATATGCTAAGTATAAAATTAGCAACAGCCAAATTAAAATAGCGCATTTAAGAGAGAATAAAATGTAATCAGATAGTTGCAATTAGAGAATCAGCATTAAAGTTCTCTTTCATTTACTGCATATTACTTCTTAATCCAGTGCTATTCGATCATAGGATCCTAGGCAAATTCAGTTTGGAAGAAACTTCAGAGGGTCCCTAGTCCAACATAAGGAATCTGGTCTGAATTCAATGTTGACTGTGTGTGCAGCAGGAGGAGGTTGGACCAGTGACTTCTGAAGGTATCTTTCAGCCTGAAGTACTCTGTGATTCTGTCTGTATTATGGAATTGTTACTGACAAATGTTGCAGTAAAAACAACAATTACAGATAACATGAACAATGTTTCATAGAGGTATTAATTTTAGAGCCAGAAGCAACCGTACTATATATTTACTATGATTTCTTGTGGAACACATGCCACTGTGCTTCCTATGGTCAGGAAGTGAGTTATATTTGGTGAAAGCCTGTGTTTTAGAATGACATGTAATTGCAAGTCAAACACTTGGCAGATGGCAAAGAATTAATCTCAAGATTGTCTTTGTCAAAATTTTGGACTTTGATCTTAATCCTAATGTTTCTGGATTTAGTATTCAAACATTTGCAGTGCCTTTCTTCATGAATTAAATATTTTTCGTTATACTTTTTCCTGTGTAATGTGTAATCACACATTTAATTCATTTGCCAATCTCATTTTTGTTGGATAAATAAATGAAGTTTATTAAACATCTGACTGTGATTATGGGGAAGAAATTATTTTCTACCTTTCTGCAGAAGCCTTTGCACAGTTGAAGACAATTATCATGTCTGTCCTTCATCTTTTCCAAAACAGATGATTGAGAAATATGTAATATGACTTCACATATATTTCTAAGACCTCTGATCACTCTTGCTGCTCTAGTCTTTCTCTAGCCCAGTTTTTTCAGAATCTTCCTAAAGGGCAGTGCTAAATGTGGACACCTGAACCTCCAAGGACTTTAACCAACACAATTTATATTCCTGATCATGACCTCTGAAACACTTTAGTTTTGCTTAATTTTACGGAAGCGTGAAACTTCTAGGGACCCATCACTCCTCCGTGACTTAGGCCCAGCTCTCCTAAACCTTTCCTGACAGATATTTGTCTAACCCCACCTTAAAAAAATCTCCAAACCCAAAAAAACACCACCACCAAAAAGAAAATCAATACACTCTTTGGTACTAAAGTTTCTGTCACCTCCCTAGGAAATACAATCTAAATCATACCATTCTAAAGATTTTCTTAATGTCTAATCTAAAGCCCCAGCTGCTGTAACTTTTTACAGCATTTCTTTTAGGATAACTATCTGCAACAGAGAGAGGATTATCTCTTTGCAGTTAATTTTTACACAGATGAAGACTGCTACTTGAGCTTCCAGAGAGCAGTCCCCAAGCTTTGCTGCCTATGAACTCTGTGAACCTGCTAGAATATGTCCTTTCTTCCGAATGACTTTCCTGAAAGTTGTTCAACTAGTTAAAAATCTCTTACATCGTAATTCTACTAGCTGCTTGAAAGCAGGCCCATTTCTTCTGTATCTCACCAAACCTCATGGTCCACTGTCATATCTATTTCAAAAGAAAGAGTAATGAGCTTTATTTGGCTCTTTAGGCAGTTTTCCCCACTATTAGCAACTTTTTGCTTTCCAAATAATAATAAATATTCTCTTTATTAGTCTTTTTGGTTTTGGCATGTACAGTATCAAGCAGGTTTACACACCAGGCAGCAAGCTTTTCCTGAACATTCTGTTTACTTCCACAGGTAAAATATCTTGAAATATTAAAAAGAGCATCTGTCTTAGCACTTAAACTTTTTGTAGATATAAACCAAATCTAGTTGCTCTAATCTGTAATGAAGATGCAATTTCTTGAACTAACATGTTCTCAATTCTAACAGACAAATACAAATTAAAATTAATCTCCTTGAAACTGTAACTGCATACTTCTAGCTCTATTGAGAACACACAGTTAAAAAAACCTGCTATATAGTATTTAACCATTGAAAAAAACACATAAACTAGTGTTTGATTTCTCAGTTCCATCAGTCTTTAGCTCAGACTGAATAAAATCCTAAAATGTATGTTCTCACTTGTGCAGAACATGGTGACTTAAAAGAAGAATCACAGTGTGAAATTTTCTGACCAAGGTATATAGGTTTATAAGGTCCCAAATGCAGCTCTTGACTCTACAGAAATTATTATTCTAATTTTTTAGTGTTTTCTCTTAAATACATTGTCACCAAAATTGGGAAAGAAATTTTTAAAGCCAATGTAGTCTTAAGAAGCAGGTATTCTTTATTGCAGTGCCGGATGCACAGGGGATTGTTACACCTATTGTGCATGCCTACTCGTCCCTCTACAAAAGCTTTATACTATCAAAACATCCATATTCATTACTTTTCCAAGAAATTATTAACATATTCATCACATTTCCAAGAACTCACTAATATATGTAAGTGTCCTTTTCTCATGTGCATTGATGTCCTTTTGATGCTCTTTCGGGGGTCCTCTGGTGGTTGTGAAACTTTTGTCACTCTGCCCTTTAGTTGAAGTTTTCTTTTCCGCATGCTTAGTTCATCTCTTGGCCTGTTTACAACACTTCTGTCTCCACAAAACTAGTTTATTCTATCATCACTACCTTATCTACCCTACTGCTAGGACTTGACACCTCAAATCTACTACAAACTTGACTAAGCCTAGCAGATATGTAACTATCTTACAATGTCACATTGTTTAAGCAGAAGGGTATGTTCTCTTGGAATGGTATCAATCCCCGCTTTCCTTTTGAGGGTTTGTAGCTATTAAACTTCAACCCTCATATTAATTTATATATCCAGCAAAGGTTAGAGTAACAATTCCATCAATGGATCATTATGCAAGTGATTATACACTTTGCTATGATAAAAAAATATAAACAATCTTTTTAGCCAAGTCCAATTGTGTATTCAAGAAGTTAGTTCCTTCAACCCAATTAATTTTGCTCATGGCTATCATTATGACAGACAGAATCAAACCAACCATTATGTTTTTATCTTTATCTTGAGAGGTGATTGTGGTTCCACAGTTCCACAGCTAGCTAGTTTTGTAAGAATTCATGAAACAGACCTACTTTAGAAACACCTAACAAATTGGGTCTTGTACATTTGATGAGGGACTGTCTGTTCTGAGAAGTTGATGTATTTTAGACAGTGAGATAGTTGATACTGAAATAGTATTTATGAATTTGTAAATGAAGCTGGAAATGCTACAGGAAAACTTATACCTTTACTTTTGCAGCCTAGTAGCAATTTTGAAAATAATATTATTAAATTTAACCCCCTTTCATAATAGAGACTTTCAGTATTTTTTAATAGCCAATAAGTGTTTGGTTTTTTATGTTTTCTTTCACCTACATAATGTAGATAAATCTGATTGCATTTAAGGCACTGGGAAAGGGCATATGCCTTTGAAAAATCCTGCCACTGAATGATAAAAAACTGGAAAATGTGTCCTGTGCAATGTAACTGAGCGATACTTGGTTATAATGGCTGATCACTGCTCAAGGTTGAGGATAAGCGACAATCAGCTTGTTGCCTTGTAAAATCTATGGGCTGCATGTCTCATTGTTCACCTAGATTCTTCTACCATACAGAGTAGCTGTCAACGGACTGTATTAGTGATTGTATTGACAAATAGATGACATAAATGCACTTAGATTATAATGTCCAGTATTTTTTACTGATTTATAGAATTTAGATAATTCAGGAGCTCAAGGGACAACTGAAAAAAGATGACAAAGAAAAATGTCTTCAAGTAACATTTTTAATTTTCTTATTATACTATCTTTTGTAGGTCTTCTGGGCATGGTTGCCCACATGATGTACACAACTGTATTTCGAATGACTGTAAATCTTGGTCCTGAAGACTGGAGACCTCACACATGGGATTATGGCTGGTCCTACTGGTACCTATTGGTTTATATTTGGTTCTTCCACTACATTACCTTTCAGTCACTTCACCCTTTGTTCAAGGAATGTATATTAAATTTATAAGTAATAAGTCTACCTTATTTCACTCCTGGGGATGCAGTTCACTAACCAGTTATTTTTATCCGCATTCAGTTGTCTTAGATAACTGCACAGAATGTATAAGCTTATGAGTTTTGCATTTGCCATCATTTAGACAGCACAGACGCCTCAAACTCCTCTACATGAAGCAGAGGTTCTTCTCCATACATATCAGACCCGGATTTAGTACTCTTATCTCCCAGGACAACTGCCTTGCACAAGTTGCTTAAATTTATTCCAGCTTTAGTCATTTAGGCTGAATTTTTCCTTATCAGTTATATGCTTCAGGTTGTTTTATCTGGAACATTTCAAACAAGATGGTTCAAATTTTTGAAAAGAGACTTAGATAAAAACACATTATTTTGGCCCTATAAATTATTGTAACATATCCTCTGGGGAGATCTAGTGAATTTGTTAAGGAGTATTTTTGCTATAGGCATAAGTCTTTGAAAAATCCATAAAATCTAATCAACAGCAAGTATTCGAATGTTCAGGTGCTGGAAACTGCTGTTATGTGACTGAGAAAAGGAAAAGGAACAACTATATTAAATTAAATCAAAAGTCAATCAGGACCAAAATTTGGGGTTAATAGAGCAGAGCTCAGGCTGGCTGTGTCCTTCATACATGCTCTGACAGCCAAGATCATAGCTCATTGTCACTCATTCTTATTGCTCTTTCTACTTTTATTGTACCATTATTGAACAAGAGCTTATAGCTGAGGAACTTGTTCCCTCCTTTCCATCCCACCGGGAGGAGAAGAAAAACAATCAAATCATTGTCACTATTGCTGTTACTGACACAACTCCATTGATGCCACTATCACCACCATCATCATGTTCATCACTGGTGTCATCACTTCTGCCACTACAGCCAGCCTTCTCCTGAGCACCAGGACTAATGACTTTTACGATGTGGCATGTACTCAGGAACTGAGGATTTCATGGCTGCCCTCTGATGATTCAGTGCAGCCTGGGCCACTGAATGCCCAAAGAAATCCATCTACCAACACAACATTCCTACCAATCAGTACCTGCATACAAGAAGACATTGAGGAGGATGGTCTGTGTGTTGCCTTTTTTCTAATCATTTGTGTGCTCTATTTTTTTACTCAAGATTAACTTTCTTCTTTCCTTTCCCCAGGCTAAATGGCAGCTACATCACTCTGTTCGATAGTAGTCTAAAATAAAGCAAGACATACATACAGGCGCCTCACTCCCTCCTCCCAGTTATCACCCTTGGTTTCTTTCCTTTTATCTCCTTTCATATATGATGGTGTCTCTCTTCTAATAACCTACATTCGTACCTCCCTTCCTGTTGTATGAAGCTTCATCTTCAGCCTCCCTTAGCTACTCTCCCTTTGACTGCATGTGAGAATTTCACCTGATGGTAAGAGAGGAAGGATGCTGAAGCTATTTTTCTTTTACAAGAGTGTCCTTGTTTTGCAGGACAGAAACAGAATAGAAGCCAAAAAAGGGGCATTAATTATTGTAGCAGACACTCTCTTTCTGACTACCTCAGCACTCACTGTGGCCAACAATATCACCAAGACCATGACAGGGGCTTGGACAGGCAAAGACTGTTACTTTTTCACTGAGATTTATAATCATTTCCTTAGTAGCCAAAGAAGACAGAAAATTGACCCCAGCTTTTAATCCCAATCACCACACCTAGTAGAGCAGCTATTTCTGCAAGAACTACTTAGCCTCTTGTCATGGAACTTCCACCTGCCTCGGTACCTCCTCTGTTCTCACATTCAGCTACTGTGGCCAGGGTTTTTCTTCCATCTGTCCCAGGAAGCATGAAAATCTTTCTTATTCCTTCACAGTGCTGGAGTTGCTAATGATGAGTAGACTCTGTGGTATTCCTGAAAGTCTCTTCAATAAATCCCTACATATTTCTTATTTCTCTTCTTCAGCAGCTTTCCTGGAGGTTGCAAGATGTTTGTGCATTCTCTTTTTTTTTTCAACTCTTTTGGATAACTGGCACATATTTTTCTCAGTGTTGTCTGTGAGATTTGTAGTCTCAGTAACTGCACTTTTTAATTTTTTATGCATCATCATGTTTGTATAGTTCCTCATTCTAATATTAAACTCTATCAGAGAAATTGGAGGTAGGGTTTTTGTTAAAGAGGAATGTTAAATGGGAATATTATAATCAATATGTAGAGGTCAACTACATAAGTCAGATATGTGGGTGGTCATTAACCAAGAAGCTTTCTTCGTCCCCCATCATGCTCCTCTTTCCATAATATACACCAATACAATCACATGTATGCAGTATTTTAAAAATTAAAATCGAAGGACCTGGATATGAAAATGTTCTGCTAATTTCTGATAAACTTTTTTGTCTGTAGCCTCGCATGGGCTTCCTTCGCTTGCTGTATGGCTGCAGCTGTCACCACTATTAACAAATATACAAAAACTATTTTGGAATTCAAGCACAAAAGAAAAATGCTGGAAAGGAGTTTAAAGATTAAATACAAGTTTCCTGATCATACAGCTCCAGAGAAAGCTTGCAATGTGTATGTGACCTCTTTGCACAACAGTACAGAAGACCCTGCACAACCAATAAGAGGCTTGCGTCAACTGGCCACTATTTCAGTTCTGTAAATTTGAACCATATCTCAAGGTATCCTGTAAATCACAATAACAGATCAGAATGAAACAGTATTGATTAATAAAAATGTATATTTGTATAGCATTAAATATTTTTCTTAATAAAGAAGTTGTATTTCAATGGATGTTTCAAGAAAGTCTTAATTTTGGAAAAGTAGATTCAGATTCCTCAGTTCAGAAAAAGACAGTGACACAAGTCTTCCACTGCTCTGACTTCTAAGCAATCTCTAATGCTAATATAAAGTATGTGAGTTTGTTAGAATATCACAACAGTATGGATTTCCACCCTAATTCTTTATTGAAAAGACTGTAAAAAGTCCTATCCCAGAACCAAAACCCACAAAAAGCAGGGCAGCAAATAGGGCAGCCCACATATGGTGCATAGCACAATTTGTTTGTTACCGAAGGTACAATCTCCCCAGGAAAAATCTGTGTATTACAGCTTATGATTCAAGAGTTTCACCATATGCATAGTGGTAGGATTTTCTGTGAAAGAAAAGCTAATAGAGGGAAGATGTTTTCAATGTAAACACTATTTATTTAAAATGGCTAGGAAGGCAAACTGAAATCTACTGATTGTAGACAGCACATAAATCACCTATTAAATTCTTTAGGTATCATTCTGACAACAGTGTCAGAAAGAATAAAAATTTTATTTGTGATTTTATACATGAAGAATAATCTACAATCATATTAAAGAGGGGAAAGTAGAAATTATGATCCCCCTAGATCAGGAATATGCAGCTGCTCCACTCTGAGGATCAATGTGGAGCTTCCCCATGGAACTGAGCTATGTGTGCCTACTCTGTTGGACACCAGTTTTTCTTCATTATTGTATGAATCCTCCTGCTAATGAACCTACTAGGAAATGCACTTGTGAACGCTGGGGGATCAGAGGCCTTACGTAGTATACTGAGCAGCTCTGAGCTTTAGAAAAATAACTATACATTTTTTTCAGGCAAAACCATCCTAACATAAATATTGTCTGAACTTGTTTTGCCAGCAGGATCTGTAATAGGTCAGTTTATTGCCAGTGATAAGGTAGAGCTGATTAAATAGAGTAGCATAAATAAAAACAATTAGCTCTGGAAGAAACCATGGGTCATTAGACTCATAGAATACAGGATCACAGAATGTCAGGGATTGGAAGGGACCTCGAAAGATCATCCAGTCCAATCCCCCTGCCGGAGCAGGAACACCTAGATGAGATTACACAGGAAGGCGTCTAAGAGGGTTTTGAATGTCTCCAGAGAAGAAGACTCCACAACCTCCCTGGGCAGCCTGTTCCACAATCACCTGTTAGCTCCTGTCCTATGACAGCATGTAAGTGTGTACAATTTTAAATTAGCATAATAATTTCTTTTCCTGTCCTGTGGAGATGTTATATGCAGTTTGCTAGCTTTATATTCATTGTGCACCATTGCTTCATTCACATGAACTTTAGAAAGAAGAATTGCCATAGTATTCTCCTTATTAATTTAGCATTTAACCTATTCGCAGCTTCTAAGCACTCATGAACACCTTAAAAACAAACAAACAAACAAACAAGGGAACGTAAAGTGGCATCTCCGAATCGTAACTAGGGCAGACTGTGTCTTGCCAGCTGACACTTTACTGCATAGAGCACTGTGGGACTCACTAAAGGATGTCAGTCAGGTATTTATAACCAAAGTAATCTCCTGGTACCTTCAGCATTATAGCATATATTTCAGTGTTCTGAAGCTGATTCCTTTAGTTCTGCAGATGAAAAAAGCAGTTTCTAGAGAGTTTGATATCCACTCTAGTAGAAGTAGTCTCGATTCCTTGACTAGAACACAAGATCTTGATTCCTTCCACTTGTTTCACTAGTTTCTCTGTCTTTGTGATAGAGACATTTCTAACAACTTCGCTGATAGAATAATTGTTCCTGATTCCATCTGACTTTCAGCTTTTCTTCTATAATAACTGTGGTTTCTTGACAATAGATTTTTACCCATCTCACGTTGTTCATGCGTGTCACTGATGAATTTCCAGCTCATTAAAAATATATATTTGGTTGGTGCCTACAAAATCTTTAAAAGGTCTAATTTAAATAAGTGCCTCAGTTTTTTTCTTTGCCTGTAGCTTGTAAACATAGACTGGTAGTTTCTGCCATAAGCTCTTTCTTCAGGATTGTTTCTCACTGTGGTTTGTACTCATATAAAATGTCATATTGCAAACAAGAGCTTTTAAATAATTGTGCAACCCCCACCCTGATCAATTATTAAATCTCAGATGGTATGGTTTTCTCACATACTAACCATTCAAGAAGGTATATGTCTTCTGCTGGATGTTTGGTAAACAAATTCATTTGATGAAATGAAAGACTTCTTATCCTTATTTGAAACCCATGATTTCACATCCTGGCCTTTATTTTAACTCTGAGTTCGTAGATATCCATAATTCTAGGGTAAGTCCTGGAACCACATTTTTGAAAGCAGGAAAAAAATTAAATAGCAATAAAAAAGCTTATCAAATGCTGTGACATTTTTATTCCAGTACATTTGACCCAATCACGCTTGACGAACGTGACATCTCAGTAAACTCCAGATGCCTGTGGCACACATATACAGATCTACAGCTGTGTATCTGTGCTGGTTACCCTAGAGTCCAGTGAAAGCTAATGAGAGAAATAAGCACTTCTAGGATGCAATTAATGTTATTCTAAGCTGTAAGTCAGACAAATCACAAGTTGCAGTCACCTGTTTCTTTGCACTGCTTAAGAAGGGGATCTGGGAGGTTAGCTCTGGATAGGCTATCTGCAGGACAGACATTTAAAATTAGACAAGGGTCTCCTCACTTCTAAAACTTCCCATTCTGTGGTGGTTTAACCCACAGGTAGGACCATGCGGTTCTGCACTCCCTTCCCCAGCCCTGTGAGATAGGAAGGAAATCACAACAAAGGGGCACAGATTAGAATGAAGGACAGGGAGAGCTCACTCACCAGTTATGGTCATGGGCAAAACAAACTCAGCTTGGGTAAGAAAAAACAATTTAATTTATTACCAATCATCTGAGTAGCACAGTGAGATATAGCAACCACATCTTTAAGACACCTTCCCCTACCCCTCCCTTCTTCCCGGGCTCAAATCACTTTGCTCTCCATTTCTCTACCTTCTTTCCCCCAGCGGCAGAAATGGGGGTCAGGTCACCTCTGCCCCTCTTCCTGGCATGACAGTCCAGGAACAAAGTGTTCCAAAGCAGCTTCCCATGGAGTCACGGACCTCTGGGCACAGCTTCTGGCTCTGGCATGGGGACGTCCATGGGCTGTAGATGGGTCTCCAGTCCAGTGTACCACCTCACCCCCCAGCTCTGCAGATCAACCCCTACTCTGGTGTTGAGCATCTCTGGGGTCTCAATTTCAGTTACACTTTCCCTCAGGCTCAGCTTTCTGCTCCAGCGTGGAGTCCTCCATGGCCTGCTTGTGGGTATCTGCTCCACCGCTGAACCTCTATGGGCTGCAGAGGACCTTCTTTGCCTTTTTCTACTCTATGCGTGCTGAACTGGGTGTCTGAGGTTCTCTGTCCTCCCTCTCCTCCTCCCTCCTGGAAAAAAAGGTCTGTCATTGTTCAGGTCAATGGCCTTTCCTCCAGGTTCTCTTCACTTTCTTCTTTTCAAGACAGTCCTTCCCCTCACAAATATGGATTCACAGAGGTGTTTCTCTATTGCTAATTGGCTCAGCCTGGGCTGAGTCAGATGAATTTCTGTGAAGCTTCTCACAAGGTAGCCCCTTCCCCCACTACCAAAAACACCCCCCCCGAACCCCAAGACACCAGTCTTCACATTCTTTTAAACTCCTTCTTACTTCAAGGGCCCTTGTGTCCAGCAATGTAAATTTTCTTGTCCAGCCCCAAGGAATAGTTTAATTCAGCACAAAATATTTAAATTTAAAACAATAGAACTGCAACTCACATTAAAAGAAAATTATGTACCTTTAGGGATGTGAGAAGCTTTAAAAATTAAAGGAGTTGTAGTTGAATATCTTCCTCCTATGACTTCTACAACTAAACCTACAGGCCTATTTTTGTCCTCATTTATAAAGGTAGTATTATTAAGGAATCTACATAGATTAAAACATGGCTGAGTGAGGGTCACTGAAAATATTTCTTGATAAACTAATCTCACAATCTTTCTTTTTATTATAATATATTTTTTAATATTATTAAATAATGAAGGTAAATAAATCCACAGGTATTTAGAGAGTGAGGCAGAGACGGACAAATGAAATAGAAAACTTCAGATTAAATAATAGATTTCCCCAGAGGAAAAAATATTACTTCAGAAAAAACAGTGGAGAAACCTTGTTCTCAATATGAAAAAAAAGGACAGAATTACAGAAAAGTGTAAAAGTGTGACCCTTTTAAAAGGTCACCTAATCCTTCTTTTCCTCTAGGCAGGATAAACTAAAGCTACATTGCTTTTTTGCAGATGTTTCATTAATCTCTTCTTTAAAGCTTCCAAAGACAGGCATTCTAAATTTTGTGTGGCAACTTATTCTTTATGCTTAACTATTCTTAGCAGAAAATTATTTCCCTGTAAATCTTCTTTGCAGTAATTTTAGCACATTGTCCTCCTACAGCAGAAATTGAGAACAGTTTAGTCCTATCCTCTTGGCAGTACAATTTAAGTATTTGAAAATCACTTCGATATAACTTTATTCTATTTTCTGGATTAAAATACATCTGTTTTTTAAAATTTTTTTCATACATCACAGGTGTTACTTTACTTTTGTCACTCTCACTGCTTTTCGCTGTGGTTTCTTGAACAGTTCCATATTTTTAAAGTGAAGATTTTCTGCTGATATCTAGAAAGTGCAAAATGCAGCAGAAGGATTATTCAGCTTATTTTAACATGCAATCCACTTGTTTTTAAACAAAGCAAAACAATGTTGATTCATATTTAGCTGTGGTGCACTATGATTCTTTATCCTTTTCTAGTGAAATTATCCAAGTATTCCCTATTTTGTGTTCGTGGAGCTGTGAAGGGCATAACTGTTTCTGAGGTACAGACACAAGTGTAACTGAGACCACAGCAAATGCCCATTTGTTTGAGGAGTAAATTTCTGGTGAGGAGCAAGAAAATTTTGGTCAAAGTGGATATTTGATTTCACAGTTAGGATATAGTCTTTCAAACAACAATAAAAGCCCAGTGCTAAAACAGAAAATACATGGTGCTCCAGCAAGTACTGCAAGAACTGGCTACTTTGCACTAGTTGTGAACTACTTACCCGAGTAATGTAGGTGCATGCATGTTTCTTGAAGCCAAAACAGTTGAATTAGAGATACAAGAAAAGGTTAATGTCCCTGCAAGTTGATAACCATGTGTTTCCTTGCACTGAGAATTCCTTTCATGTTATGATTCTTACTGATAGAAAGAGGTAGGTAAGTGCAGCTGGTGTTGAAAGGTATATGAACAATGACACTTGTAGCAGCAAGTGCAGTTTAGTTTCATGCTTTCTGAGTAGGTCTTTCCATTGTAGGTATTCTGCAAACAAGGTGTTTTGACTGTGTCTGCAAAAAAGCAGGTGGTCATGATCTCTGTATAGGAGACAGGAAAGGCCAGGGGAGGGCTTGAGAGACAGAATTTAAGCTCTTAGATGTAAAACTGAAGATCAGGACACTCTTGTATTAGCTTTATTTATATTTTGGTTCAGCTCAGAGGATGAGACAAAAAAAAGAGTAAGTCCTCAGCATGAACTGGGAAAATATGAGAGAGAAGAGAAGCCTAGAATGTCTAGGATTGAGAGAACTTCGGGAATATATGGAATTTATACAATTGACACGAGTAATGGCCACGCTCGTGTTGGACATGATGATTAATTACCACATGTAGCAGAGTGGACAAGGGAACTCAGTGCTCAGTAGCAGTCAGTAAAATATCTCAAAACCATAAATTTACATAAGACATGCAAAAGAAGAAAAGAAGTGAAAAATCCAGGAACCATCTGTATGCCTGTCTGTGAATCGAGATTGCTTACATATCCTGAATGCTGCATGCTTCATGCAGTGGCCTGTCCATCTTAAAAAAAAAAAAAAAAACGTAAACCAAGAAAAGTTAAAGAGCAAGAAGAATAATCTGGACTTCTCACAGAGAGAGTGTTCATAGATGGCAGGGCTCTCCGACTTGGAAAATAGGTAACTGCATGGAAAGTATGATGGACTTGGGTGACTGTGAGTGAATGAATTGAGCACTATTATTTTTTGTTTCTCACAGTAAAAGAAGTAGAAGATATCAGAGAATATTATCTGACACCAGGTGTAGTGGACTGACTGTGGCTAGATGCCAGGTGCCCATCAAAGCCACTCTATCACTCCCCTCCTATCTGGAAGAGGGAGAGAGGCTCATGGGCTGAGATAAGGACAGAGAGAGATCATTCAGTTACTGTAATGGGCAAAACAGACTTGACTTGGGGAAATCAGTTTAATTCATCACCAATCATATCAGAGCAGGATAATGAGAAATAAACCCAAATCTTAAAAACACCTTACCCCCATCCCTCCCTTCTTCACAGGCTTAACTTCTGTCCCGATTTCCTCTATCTCCTCCCCTACACTGGCACAGGGGGACGGAGAATGGGGGTTGCAGCCAGGCCATCACATGTTGTTTCTGCTGCTCTTTCCTCCTCAGGGTGATGACTCCTTCCGCTCTAAAAAATCTTCCCCCGTTCCAGCATGGGGTCCCTCCCACGGGACACAGTCCTCCATTAACTTCTTCATCTTGGAGACGGCTGGTACAGGCTTCATTTGACATATGGGAAGTTTCTAGCAGTTTCTTGCAGAAGCCACCCCTGTAGCCCTCCAGCTACCTGGCCACACAAATCCTATAAACCACCTTTAAAATAAACATAAGGAAATATTTTTTTATATGCAACTACTTCCTTTCCTCAGGGATGGAATATTTCAAACAGGAATTTAAAAAATTGTGTAAAAAGCATTAGTTTAACAAGATGCAGAGAAAGATTTTTTTCAAACTGTGTAGCAGATTAGCAGAACCTGGGAGGGTATAATACAGGGAGTCTCTCCATACTTTTTCCATTCTTATAATCTATCTTTTAATCAGGTATTCCAGGGTCCTGTCGTGAATAAGATATTGAACTATATAACCCCTTATTTGGGCTCACCATTTGCATATCCTGCAAGTACTTCCAAAAAGCATATCTGAGGAACACTCTGATCCAGGCTCTAATCCCATTTTCCATTGATTTTTACTCCTGTGTCTCCCACATCTCTCTACTTCCCAATCCCTTTGTTCCTGTAAGTTTACATAATTCCTAGCACTGACAGACCATCCTGATAAGTTCCTGCAGGTCCCTAAACTTTGATCTACATGTTAGGAATCACTCTCTTATAACAGCGATAGAGTTCCTAGTAGAGTTTTCCCCGTACTGTTGTAATGCAAACAATGACATCTTATCATATTCACTAAATCCAGAAGAGCAGACATCCCACAGATGAATGTGTGCCAAGGGTAATGAATCACTGAGTGAGACATCAGCTGGTTCATATTTAATAAATCTTCCTGTTTTATTCTACCCATAGTGAAAAGCAGAAATCACTGATATTTGAAACAATTTTATTTTTTTTTCAGATCAAAAGCAGGGAAAAGAACCAAACAAAATCAATTTTCCTCTTCTGTCTTCAGCTTTTCCCTAATCCCTGAGGCAACAATAGCAAAAAACAGCTCAGGGAAGAAGGTGCGAATGTAAACTGCTACTCTGGGGATAGGGTTGGCCATAAGTACTTCCTGCTTCTTACTGCTTACTGTGCGCAAGACTTCCTCTGCCACCTCCACTGGGTGCACACCATATGCCAGCTTTCTGAAAAAGACTAAATCAAACAGAGGAGTAAGAGCTACAGACAGACACATCTGAGGGAATGATGGCGGAAAGATACACAGCTAATGCATCAGTCAAATTAGTTAAATTCCTATACACTTTCAATACCTTAACCTTCCCTTCCCCTCACCAGTATGTCCCTAAGATCTTTTTACAATTGTGAAATTAAATCCTCACAGTCCCTAAGAGATGGAACAACTTGAGTGGAGTGGAACTCTCTTGGTACCTTTCATGCTCTACTCTACTTCCATTCCCCATGCCCTGGTGTATTTATTTTCTCACATACTGTTGTCTCTTTCCATGTTCCTTCTCTTTTCAGCAGGCTCATCTGATCTCTCCAATCTCTTTACTTTTTCTCCTCTAACTTGTCCATTCTTTCTGTCATTTGCATTCTTTGCCCTATGCTCCTTTTGTCTCCATGGGAAAAGACTCCATATTGCTATATGGGCCTCATCTACTGTCTCTCTTGATGCATCAAACCTTACATTTCCAAATAGATGCCTCCCAGTTGCCAGGTGCTGGTTGGCGATGGTAGGAACAGATGAAGGTTGGATTCACAGTGCTGACAGAAATATCAAATTCTTCCATTTCAGCCCTAAGACAATCAAAAAAGCCTACAGCAGCATGCTTAGAAGCAGCATCTAAAAGAAAGAAAAAACCCCACATATGCATGTTTGGATATATGAATGCATGGATATAGATGTAAGATAGAGCTCCATAAAATATTAATGTTTGGAAAATTGAGCATGGAATGATTAGCCAAATGCAAAAGAACAGTAAAATTATCATCTGACATATTTAAAACAAACAAAATAAAATTATTTGTACAGGACAATTATGCACGTGGTATACAGTCAGTCTCCCCTATACACATTTAAAAGCATATGTCTGAATTTCCCAATCAGAAATATTAAGCCCTGGGTTAAGGAATAATATTTCTATTATCTCTACAGTTTAAGAATTTATTTGGTCGATGGACAGCTGTCCCTGAGATGAGTCTCCATACCACCTGTTGCTGTAGTTTGTGACAAATTAATAAAATGCAGTGAAATACATGTTCATTTCTGGAATGCAAGAGTACTATAAATTAATTAGGCCTTTGCCCTGCAACAACAATGCAAGATACTTTTAATATTAAAGTTAGTTTTAAAGTAGCTGCATGAGAAGTATTTTTTTAACTGCTCTTAATGCCTTTTAATTGAGAATAGTATTAAAGGATAATAATATGTGAACCCTGACCAAAACCCAGAACTCTTATACACCTTTTATTTGACTCAGTTTGCTGTGAAAATCAACCTGTACATAATATAATCTAATACATGGCAAATAGGCTCCATAAATGGAGAGAAGCTTATCTATTAATTTGTTTTGAAATTCCTTCTTCTGGAAGCTTCACTTAATGCAACATAGATATCAGTAGAGGCATTGTAAAAACTATCTATCTCTATTAACTGTTCTGCTACTTGTAATTTTATACACATACAATGTATCTTGACACAATCAGCTGTTTCCTAGATGGAAACCATTCCAGATGTCCCATCAATATGTTCTTTCTTTTCTGAGCCTTTTTTGTTGTGCTTATACTTCTTTTGAGATGGGTGATTAGAATTGCACATCATTTTCAAGATGTGGGCACTGCACATAAGACATAAAGATAGGAATTTTTTTTTTTTCTCTATTGCTTTCCTTACAGTTTCTATCACTGCATTTTGCTTTCGTGGAACTGTAAGTCACAATCCTGACATCTTGCAGACTTTTAAATTCAGAGCCTGTCATCCACTGTGACCTTCTGCCACAGTTAAAAAGGTCTGTTTACATCTATTCTATATTTTTTTTCACCATAATTCAAGAAATCTTAGTTTCATTAGGAGCTTGAGATGAAAGACGTTCTTGAAAATTTTATAGAAAGGCAAGCAGAATACAATTATTACATAGAATCATAGAATGGTTTGGGTTGGAAGGTACCTTAAAGATCATCTAGTTCCAACCCCCCCCGCCATCAGCAGGGACACCTTCCACTAGACCAGGTTGCTCAAAGTCTCATCCAACCTGGCTTTGAAAACTTCCAGGGAAGGGGCATCTACAACTTCCTTGGGCAACCTGTTCCAGTGTCTGACCACCTTCACAGTGAAGAACTTCTTCCTAATATCTAATCTAAACCTACCCTCTTTCAGTTTAAACCCATTTCCCCTTGTTCTGTCACTAACGGCCCTTATGAAAAGTCCTTCCCCAGCTTTCTTGTAGGCCCGTTTTAAACTCTCACACATAAATCTATTAAGTGCATGAGTGTCCCTTTACAAAGCAGTAGCTAGTACCTACCAAGATGTTATATTTATACACTACATTCTTCATTATGATTTCTACTAATATGCCCAGTATGGATGTTAGACCTACAAGTTCGCTGTTTCCTGAGTGTCTCCTAAGATCATAAAAAAACTTGCTGTCACATTTGCTATCCTCTTGTCCTCAAGTACCTTAGGCAATAGTTGTACTTCAAAGATAGTATTTTAACAATTTCTTCTTGAGTTCCACTTTGAAAAATTTTTGGCTAAATGCTGCAATTAATAGTTTAATGATTAATTAATAATAATTAATTAATTGATAATTAATACTGCATTAATTTACTGAATTAGGATCCAAATTAGCACTTTTAATAACCTAATATCAGTGCCATGAAACACCCACAATTTATACATTAGAATGTAACATTTTTGCTCTGTATAACTTACAAGCTGCACGAAATGGGATTCCTATTTTTCCTTGGATACTATTAATTAGAACAATTTGGCCAGTTCTTCTTGAGATCATGTTGGGAAGAATGGCTGGAAAAAAAAAAAAGAAATAAAGGAAAGAAACACATAAATAAAAGAGCTCATTGTATTTAGTGAAAAGAAGTGACAGCTGAAGTGTGGGTAGTACAACTTTAATTATGGTTGTCTCAATACAGCAGTCAAAAGTATTACAAAATCTAGTAGCCGGAAGTTGAGTGTCTTCTAAGACTTCACTTAAATTCTACATGCAGATTTGAGTGCAGTATTACCACATTTAATTGTCAGCTTCTCTGTATCCTTTCAAGGGTTTTGAAAGCAATTGTCTTTGTAACAAAGTCAACAAACACATAAATAAAGGAGATACCATATGCAAAATACAATAAGCAGACACTTAAAAAAATGTCTTTCAAACACATGCTTGTATATTTCTTGACCAATATATTTATAAACCCAAGCACTCTGATTTTGATCTTCTTCATCTCAATTCCAGTCCACTGATTTTCACAGAATTGGTTTTTATTATAGGGAAGAAGTCAAGTGCAAATGAAACACTTGCAAATGAAATAGTGTCAGGCCAATGATTTGGATCTTAAGCTTTAAGTGGCAACAGCAAAACAGGAAAAAAAATAAAATACCTTTGGTTAATGTTATAGGTCCAAAATAGTTGGCATCCATTATCTTTTTATCAAGTTCCAATGAAATGCTCTGCACTGCTCCTTTCACCTTCATACTTGCATTGTTGATCAGTATATCCACACAGCCATAGCAATTCAGGATTTCCTTAGCTACATCTTGAATGCAGTTTATGTCTGAGATATCCAGAAGTATGAGCTTTGGTGCATATGTCTAATAAATAAAAGATTTATTTCAAGGATATATTTTATACAAAAATGTATTTCTGTTTACTTATCTTGTAAATTAATTTACCTTGATATCTGAAGAAAGTGCTTTTACCATCCTCACAAAAACTTTGATTTGTTCTTTTCACCCACTCTAGAAGGAAGGTGGTTCAGCAATGGGTATTCATAGACTCAAATTCAGATGAAGCAGAAGACCATGGAAAGGGTAAGCTGGACTAGCTCTATCCTGTTGAGTTTTTTCTCTCTTGTAATCAGTGGAGACAGATAACAGACACAGAGTGTGACTCTTACCACTCCAAGTTACAGTCTTCCTGTAAGCAGCTCTCTGGAGAACTTTGCTGACCACAGAGTCTGGGATATAGTGCTTTAATAGATAATTTACATATACATGGAAGGCAGCTGGAAGGTAGGAATGTTTTTTTCAGCTATAGGTTATCCAAATAGAATTTACATTTGTACAATTTCTGCAAAGATGTGGATTTTATCAGCAATGGGTCAGAGGAATGAACACTGAGTATCTTCTCTTACCGTATTACTATGATGATGTAATGAAGATCCCTTAGAATTTTTTTTTTCTAGTTGAGTCTGTTCAGACTAACATGAACACACTGGTGTTTTATGGTTATTTATGCAGATTAATGGAGTTCACTACAAAAATAGTGTCAAAGGCAAATATTTTTTGGTCTGGTGAGCAATAGCTGTAGAATTTGTGTGATTCCTTCAGGAACACATGGGCCCTGAAATGATTAAACTATCCGTAGGTCACAGAAACAAAGCTTTTCCACGAACATCAAAGAAACAACTTCCTATGAACTGGCAACAGGGGCAGCCTTGCATATCTACTTGAACAGTGACCCAGTGGTAATGAGGAAATGGCACTCTTATTCAGATGTTCCCACGCCCTTCTAGCTAGGACTTCTTCCAAAGTAATGAAGAAACTAAAAATTGGTTCAATCTTTAGATCCCTAAAAACTGGTTCAATCTTTAGATCCATGTCCCACTTCTGAGCACTCCAATTATGTGAAAAATTGTGATCAAATGAAACACTTTGGATCCCTTTCATCCAAATTAGCAGGCAAATTCATCTGCCTAGAATTTCTAGTTGCCTGGCTTGTTCAAAATGCAGGACCACTCAGTTGCTTTACAGTAATTGCCTTGAATTAGCTCAAGAGACCAGGATTTCTGACTTAAACTTTTGGCATCATGCTCTGAAGACCTTCAGAAGTGTTTTTCTTTCTCTCTGGACTGTGTTGGTTGGGTTACCTGGCTGACCGAAATCAGCATTAACAGTGAATCATATTTCATGTACCTTGTTTTACTGGATTTCAAAGTGCTTTGTGTACCTGAACAAGGTGTTTAACTCAAGTTGTGAATTCTCAAAGCAGAGTGAAGAAATACTTACCATACTGGGATCTGCCACACTCATTAAAGCTTCATACAAGGCTTCTAACTTTTCCCATGTCCTGCCACACAACACAAGCCTCGCTCCTCCTGTGTGAAATACCCGAGAACATTCTAGGAGAGAAATATGTTCAAAATAAATAATAACAATAATAACAATTTGATTTTGTTTATTTTACTTGAAATGGGATGCTGGTTTTGCTAATGATGTTGAATCTATGCTTTAGAATTCATTCATTTTGAAAGAATAAATATATATGAGAAAAAAGAAAGCTTTAAATGGCAATAATATATAGGTGAGCAATAAATTAAAAATTAATGTACTGATATAATACACAATTAATGGTACAGCACAATGGTACTGTTTAGTCATGGGATTTTATACAAATGTAATTAAGAAATAAACAATTTAATTTACAAGACAAGTAAATAGAAATACAACTTTATATAACAGGTATCCTTGAAAGAAATCTTTTCTTGCTAGACATAGGCATATGTCTTGCAGACAGGCCTGAAGTTGCAACTGATGATGTGCCCTCTGTGCCTGAAACCAGAGATCTGGTTTGGGTACAACCAGACTATTAGTTGACAATGGGTTATGTGTGCTAAAAAGCTCTCAACCTTGGAGCCCTTGTATTTGTTCCCTAAATGAAATCTATATGACAGTTACATATTCAGCATTAGAAGAACAGGAATATGGTCTTACAATTAATCTTATGCCTTTCGAGCCTGTTTGATTTGTCTTAGCTCCTATGGCTGTCTGTCCTCCAAAAAAACATTTCTTCAGACTTCAATACTCACAAGTAAATCTAGTTATGCTAATGTATCTATATTAGATTTCTTAAATACCCATGTCAGACTTTTAATATCTTTATGGAAGGACTTCTCGATCCACTCTTCTGTTTTTGTAAACCTGTGCAGCTGGAGACTTTTATTTATGTAATCTTTCTCATTGTTTACAACAGTAATTTTATGAATGTCTTTCATTTTCTTTTTTCTAGCACAGAAAGATTTTTTATTTAAAGCCCAAAAGATTATTTGCCAGTACTAGGGCAAGTACTACACCAGTATTTTTCCTATAAACATAACGGTTGGGGCAACCTTGTGAATAAATTGTGACTACTGTGTGAACAGCAATAAAAGCAAAAATGGGAAAACAATTATGTCCTACTCTAGAACTATCCTGGACTTTTCTAAGCTATAACAGTGAATACAGGAATCAGGTTTAAATAACAATCATAAACCATTGCAAGCATTTTCAATCTTAATAGTTTTTGTTTCTCTTTTTTAACTTTGATGAATGCTTTTAGTCTGGAAATTCTACCATGTGGGAAAAGAAATTTGGCTGTTGCCTAAGAGTTGAAATATACAACAGCTGGCCAGACAGCTGGTATTTTAAAGCTCTGGGCCATTACATATGCATGAATGGACTGCACAATAAATCATAGAATGAATCATCGAATGGTTTGGATTGGAAGGGACCTTAAAGATCATCTAGTCCCAACCCCCCTGCCATCAGCAGGGACACCTTCCACTAGACCAGGTTGCTCAAAGCCTCATCCAACCTGGCCTTAAACACTTCCAGGGAGGGGGCATTCACAACTTCCTTGGGCAACCTGTTCCAGTGTCTGACCACCCTCACAGTGAAAAACTTCCTAATATCTAATCTAAACCTCCCCTGTTTCAGCTTAAACCCATTGCCCCTTGTTTTGTCATTAACTGCCCTTATGAAAAGTCCCCCCCCCAGCTTTCTTCTTCTGCATAATTTGTAAATTCTTTAAATGCAAATTCTGCATAATTTGTAATCATTCAAGCCTGCAAGTAACTTCTCAGCATCACCCTACGGGATACAGGAAGTAGATATGGTTGTGATAAATATAAAATTGCTTTGAGTTACCTCCTTTTTCATCTATGTGAAAAAAGACTCAGGGAGGGGGGAGCTGATTGCCTTTGTAGACTCAAGAGACAGGCAATAGCTAGTCACCAAAAAAAAAAAAAAAAAAAGGAAATTGAACTTGGGAAAATCTTCCCCAGGGGTCACACAGTGCTGGAGCAAGATACCTAAAGAAATGTCCAATAAATACAATAAATATTCTTTATCCTTGGAGATTTCCAGGATTTGGCTTGAAGCCACACCAAATCAGATCTAGCAATGGTAATGTTCCTGTGCCAAGCAGGACTTTTGTCTAGAAACCACTAGACCTCCTATGATTCTATAAGTCACTCAGTCTGGAGAAATTTAAATAATTCCTCTCCAAACAAAAATACTGAAATATAACCAATCAGAGAGAACACATGCTAATATTATCTTCAACTGAAACTGAAATGTGTC